CTATATACACACACACTTCTAAGAGAAAGGAGTAGTTCAATGACAGTGGACAAAAAATAACACGCTCAGGATGGCTAGGAAGTGTAAAGCATGGTCACTATTAACTCATTATTAATTCCTAAATTAACTTTAGTGCATTCTCCATTCTGTACTCTTACAAAAAAATACAAACAATACATGGTAATTTAGGAAATGCTTGTATTTCTTTTACTTTCCATACAGATTTTAGCGTTGCATAACACTTGGAACTGTAAAGGCAGGTCTTTCACAATGCAACTTTTAACTCTGCAACTAGAAGCACAAAACAGTGACCCAATAATAACTCGGCCTGAAGTTTCTCCCACAGTGAAGTGAGTATAGTTAAGTAATCAAATTGTCCCATAACACCATTCTACATCTATTTCCCTTTTATGCTCTAGCATTCTCTTCTCCGTTAACTCACCCCAATTTTTATTTTTGCGCATTTACAATTATCGTATCGTTCTTCTTTTCCTGATGCTGCTCTTTGTTGCTAGTTTTGTTTACAGATACGTTTTATATAAGCATCTGACATTAATGTGCACCTGATGTATTCTAAGTTTGCCTAGCTTAAATCAATCTTTACGCTGTAGCTCTAGATAATCCAGTCACTGGAATATGTCCAATTCATTTGCTGCAACTTCCCAGATTTTTTTTTCCTTAGTTCAATATCCCTGGATTATATACTTGGTATTTGCAGCTGTTTCAATTAGCTGTCTGTTGCTAAGCTTATTCTTCCATGTTTGCATAGGGTTGTTTGGCTTTAAAGAAGAAGGGAGAAGTAGTGTTAATCAACAGTCTTTATTCTTGTCATGGTATCTATAAGAAATAGTACTTACATATCTGGGATTAAAAAAGGCCCTAACCTTTTCTTCATCACTGTTGGTGGAAGTGATGGCGCAGTGGTAATGTCACTGGACTGGTAATCTACAGCCCCACGCTAATGTTCTGGGGATAATGATTCAAATCTCACCATGGCAAATGGCAAAATTTGAATTCGCTAAAAAGCTGACTTAATGACAACCATATAACCACTGTCAATTGTCATCAAAACCCATTAGTAAAAGGTACTTCTATGACTTAGGGAAGGAAATCTGTCATTCTTACCTCATCTGCCCTATATGTGATAACTGACCCACAACAACACATGGAGTCTTAGAATGCCCTTTGCGTAATTAGGAATCAGGAATAAATGCTGGCCTTCGCAGTGAACAAAAACAAAAGCTCGCCTTTCTTAATGTGCTTCTACTTTATATTTTTCTTATTATTGGATGTTAAAGGTACAATATAGGTTACTACCAATACCATCATTCTTTATGAAACTCCACTGCTACATACTTGTATTGTTACTTTTTTGGCTGTACCAATTTTGGTGTTCCTTGGCCTTGACATTTCAATCTTGCCGTCATTCTATTTGTCACACTTGCTCTGTGATGAGGGTAGATACAGTATATTCCTGCTTTCTTTGCTCGGAGGGCTATTCTAATTTCTCACAACTTTTAATCTTGGCATGGTTATGGTCATATTTTTTCTGCAGTATTGCAATATATTAGGGAATGAAAGACTGACTTGATATTTGGGAGGTAGGAGTAGTTGCAGTTTGATCTGTCCTGTTGCTATTGAAACTGCATTTCTAACCTAATTTATTACTTGTCCTGTTTTGAGAGAGTTTCTTAATGTTGGACTATTATTCTGATTTTCTGTGCCTGCCCATTATACAAAGGATGGGAAAGATTTATTCCCAGGAGTAGGATTGTTAAGCTTTTCATGTAGTGCATTCATGAATTTAAGGTAGATGTCTTCCTGCCCTACCCCCATGTAGTGTGTACTCAGGAGTGTGGGGTATGTGTGTTGCTGCACCCAGTGTAGGGAGCACTCAGGAATGTTTGTTCATGTGTTCCTGCTCCAGTTAGAGTCATAGGAACATACAGCATGGAAACAGACTCTTCGGTCCAACTCGTCCATGCCGACCAGATATCCTATATAGATCTAGTCCCATTTGCTAGCATTTGGCCAATATCCCTCTTAACCCTTCCCATTCACAAACCCATCCAGATGCCTTTCAAATTTTGTAATTGTACCAGCCTCCACCACTTCCTCTGGCAGCTCATTCCATATACACACCACCCTCTGTGTGAATATGTTGCCCTTTAGGTTCCTTTTATATCTTTCCCCTCTCACCTTAAACTTGTGCCCTCCAGTTTTGGAATACCCCACCCCAGAAAAAGACCTTGCCTATTTATCCTATCCGTGCCCCTCATAATTTTCTAAACCTCTATAAAGTCACCCTTCAGCCTCCGACACTCCAGAGAAAATAGCCCCAGTCTATTCAGCCTCTCCATGCTTCCCCCTATAGCTCAAACCCTCCAACCGTAGTAACATTCTTGTAAATCCTTTCCGGACCCTTTCTAGTTTCACAATATCCTTCCAATAGCAGGGAGACCAGAACTGAATGCAGTATTCCAAAAGTACATAACCAATGTCCTGTACAGCCGCAACATGACCTCCCAACTCCAATACTCAATGAATTAACGAATAAAGGCAAGCATACTAAACGCGTTCTTCAGAATCCTATCCACCTGCGACTCCACTTTCAAGGAGCTATGAACCTGCACTCCAAGGTCTCTTTGTTCAGCAACACTCCCTGGGACCTTACCATTAAGTGTGTACGTCCAATCCTGTTTTGCCTTTCCAAAATGCAACACCTCATATTTATCTAAATTAAACTCCATCTGCCACTCCTCAGCCCATTGACCCATCTGATTAAGATTCCATTGTACTCTGAGGTAACCTTCTTCGTTGTCCACTACACCTCCAATTTTAGTGTTATCTACAAACTTACTATATTCACATCCAAATCATTTATATAAATGACAAAAAGCAGTGGACCCAGCACTGATCCTTGTGGCACACCGCTGGTCACAGGCCTCCAGTCTGAAAAGCAACACTCCATCACCACCCTCTGTCTTTTACCTTTGAGCCAATTTTGCATCCAAATAGCTAGTTCTTCCTGTATTCCGTGTGATCTAATCTTGCTAACCAGTCTGCCATGTGGAACCTTGGTGAACACCTTACTCAAGTTCATATAAATCAGCCTTCATCAATCCTCTGCTATTTCTTCAAAAAACTCAATCAAGTTAGGGAGATAAAATTTCCCAAGCAAAAAGCCATGTTGACTATCCCTAATCAGTCCTTGCCTTTCCAAATATATGTAAATCCTGTCCATCAGGATTCACTCCAACAACTTGCCCATCACCAATGTCAGGCTCACCAGTCTACAGTTCCCTCGCTTTTCCTGACCACATTTCTTAAATAGTGGCACCGTGTTAGCCAACCTCCAGTCTTCTGGCAGCTCACCTGTGGCTATTGATTGTATAAATATCTCAGCAAGGTGCCCAGCAATCACTTCCTTTGCTTCCCACAGAGTTCTAGGCTATTTATCCACCGTTATGCATTTTAAGATGTTTAACGCCTCCTCCTCTGTAATATGAACATTTTTCCAAGATGTCACTATTTATTTCCCCATGTTCTCTATCTTCCATATCCTTCTCCACAGTAAGCACCGATGTAAAATACTCGTTTAGTATCTTCCCCAATCTCCTGCGGTTCCACACGTAGGCGGCCTTGCTAATCTTTTAGGGCCCCTATACTCTTTCTAGTTACTCTTTTGTCCTTAATGTATTTGTAGAATCCCTCTGGATTCTCTTTAACCGTATTTGCCAAAGCTATGTCACATCCCCTTTCTGCCCTCCTGATTTCCCTCTTAAGTATACTCCTACTGCCTTTATACTCTTCTAGGGATTCACTCAATTCCTGCTGTCTAAACCTAACATATGCTTCTTTCTTTTTCTTGACCAAACCCTCAATTTCTCTAGTCGTCCAGCATTCCCTATACCTACCAGCCTTGCCCTTCACCCTAACAGGAACCTACTGTCTCTGGACCATCGTCATCTCATTTTTGAATGCTTCCCATTTTTCAGCTGTCCCTTTGCCTGCAAACATCCACGCCCAACCAACTTTTGAAAGTTCTTGCCTCAGCCCATCAAAATTGGCCCTTCTTCAATTTAAAACTTTAACTTTTAGATCCATTCTATCCTTTTCCACCACAATTCTAAAACTAATTGAATTATGATCACTGGCCCCAAAGTGCTCCCCCACTGACACCTCAGTCACCTGCCCTGCCTTATTTCCCAAGAGTAGGTCAGGTTTTGCACCTTCTCAAGTAGGTACATCCCTATACTGAAACAGAAAAATTTTTGCGCACACTTAACAAATTCCTCTCCATCCAAGCCCTTAACAGTAAGGCAGTCCCAATCTATGTTTGGAAAATTAAAATCCCATTCGATAACCACCCTATTATTTTCACACATAACTAAGAACTCCTTACAAATTTGTTTCTCAATTTTCCATGACCTTTTTTTTTGTGGGGGTGGGGAATTCACAGTACAATCCTAATAAGGTGATTCAAGAATGTGTGCATTCATTCCCCGGGAGTGTATATTCAGTAATGTAGGGTAGATGTGTTCCTCCCCCTGTTGTGTATACGTGAGGGTGTGGGGTAGATCTGTCCTTTCCACCGCTGTGGTGTATATGCGGTGTGGGGATGTGTGTTCCTGCTGTTCTGGGCCCCCTCCCTGTAGAGTATACACACAGGAAAGCGAGGTATGCGTTCCTGAAGCCCCTAGAGCGTACATACAGGAAAGCGGGGTATGAGTTCCTGCAGCCCCTAGAGTGTATACTCAGGAATGTGGGTTGGTATGTCCCTGCCTTCAGAGTTGTACATAGTCGGAGGTGTGGGGTAGATGTGTTTGTTTCCCTAGTGTGGAGTATACGCAGGAGTGTAGGGTGGGTGTGTTCCGGCCCAGGCGAGGGCAGAGGGAGGAGGGAGGATTTTGGGTGGTGGTGGTGTTTGGGGGTGGGCGGTGGTGTAAAGTTATCCTCATTTTACCCCCGGGATTGCAGCGGGCCGGGCGACCTCCTACCTCTCTTGTTCTTGGTGCCGCTTCTCCGGGCGATCTCCAGCTCTCTCTGGATCCTGTTCTCCAGGAATTCCTGCTTCTTGGTCAACATCTCCTCCGTCTCCCTGAGCCGATGGAGGGCCTCCTGCGGGCTCGGGCCCTGTTTCCGGGGGTGGGATCGGGACGAGCCGGACCCCGAGCTGGAGCTCGATCCGCTCTTGAAAATGTTGGAAATTTTGTTCATAACGACCGTCCGGCGGCTCGAGCCCGACACAAAAACACAGCTAAGGGCACCGGGCTGTGTCTGGCGTCACTTCCGGTAAATGCGCCTGTCAATCAATGAGGGGGTGGGGAGTCCGCCTGCTGTCAAAATGGCGGAGTTGGAGATTGGTGGACAGTGTGAGGTACAGCATTGCCGTCAGTTAGGTAGGTTGTAAATCATGCAAAGTTTTACTTCTTTACTGAACTCTGTTTGCAATGGGAGGGGATCTTTAATTGTTTCAAACTGAAGAATGCTGCTCGTTGCTTTTGCCTGGATCGGACAAAGATTTAAGATAGGAAGGCGATTAGAACTCGTCTTCCCAGGCTGACTTTAGGGAGTTTAAAAAAACAGAAGTTGCTGGAAAAGCTCAGCAGGTCTGAACACCAGGCCTTATTATCACATAGCCTGCCATTACACACTACCTATTGCTAGTCACTGACAGTCCCCATGAACAACTGTTCACCCTCCCAGCCAGATCGTTATCAACTCCATTGTCTATCCAACTGCTGTTCTCTCTCTTCGAGTTCTATCCTATCATTCAATTCCTACCCCATTCCTCTTCCTATTTTCTGCATATAAACTGACGTTTTCCCAGCCACCATCAGTTCTGAGAATGGCCACCGGACCCGAAACGTTAACTCTGATTTTTTTCTTCATAGATGCTGCCAGACCAGCTGAGCTTTTCCAGCTACTTCTGTTTTTGTTCCTGATTTACGGTATCCGTAGTTCTTTCAGTTTTGACTGTAAGGAGTGCCCCTCTCTTGTAGTTTCTAGTCCTGAGATAATTCCAGGGTTTTTTTTTAGCTGTGATAAGGCAAAGAACTGTGGATGCAGAAGATCATTAACAAAAACAGAAATTACTGGAGAAATTCAGCAGATCTGTTGTTTCGAATCCAGTAACTTTTCAGAACTGCATATTCCCCTCTCCTCCCATGTCCACCTTCTGCAGGGACCATTCCCTCCGGGACACCCTGGTCCACTCTTCCTTCACTCCCAACACCCCGCAGCCCCACGGCACCTTTTCCTGCAACCAGCGAAGGTGTTACACCTGCCCATTTACCACATCCCTCCCTACTAACTTAGGGCCCAGAGGAATTACGCTTTTATGAGGAAGATTCACTATACTCGAAATGTTATCTCTGTTTTCTCTCCACAGATGGTGCCAGATTTGCTAAATTTCTCCAAAAATTTCCATTTATTTCGTTTGCCTCTAATGTTTTATTTGAACACATTGCTGGAAAAACTCAGGTCTGGCAGCATCTGACTTTAAGGAGTGCCCCTTAGCGCTGGTTGATGTAGTATATTTGGAATTTCAGAAAACGTTTGACAAAGTCCCATATAAGAGATTAATGTGCAAGATTAAAGCACACGGGATTGGGGGAAGTGTTTTGAGATGGATAGGAAATTAGTTGGCAGAGAGGAGACAAAGAGTAGGAATTAATGGGTCCTTTTCAAATTGGCAGGCAGTAACTAGTGAGGTGCCACAGGGATCAGTGCTGGGACCCTAGCTATTCAAATATATATTAATAATTTGGATGAGGGAACAAAATGTAACATCTCCAAGTTTGCAGATGATACCAAGTTGAATGGGAAGCTGAACTGTGATGAGAATGCAGAGCTCCTTCAGCATGATGTTGACAGGTTGGGTGAGTGGGCAAATCAATGGCAGGTGCAGTATAATTTGGATAAATGTGAGATTATTCACTTTGGAAGCAAAAACAAGAAGGCAGATTACTACCTGAATGGCTGTAAATTGGGAGAAGGGAGTGTGCAACGGGACCTGGGCATCCTTGTGCACCAGTTGCTAAAGGTAAGCACGCAGGTGCAGTAGCGGGTAAGGAAGGCAAACGATATGTTTGTCTTCATTGTGAGAGGTTTTGAGTACAGGAGCAAGGATGTGTTGTTGAGTTATACAGGGCCTTGGTGAGACCACACCTGGAATATTGTGTGCAGTTTTGGTCTTCTTTTCTGAGGAAGGATACTCTTGCTCTCGAGGGAGTGCAGTGAAGGTTTACTAGGCTGCTTCTGGGGATGGCGAGTCTTACGTATCAGGAGAGATTGACTACGTTGGGATTGTTTTCGCTAGAGTTCAGATGAATGAAGGAGGATGTCATAGAGACTTATAAAATTCTAACAGGACTGGACAGGTTAGATACAGGGAGGATGTTCCCAATGGTGGGTCTGTCCCAAACCAGGGGTCATAGTATGAGGATTCGGTAGATGATTTAGGACAGAGATGAGGAGACATTTCTTCACCCAAAGAGTGGTGAGCCTGTGGAATTCATTACCACAGGAAGTAGTTGATACCAAAACATTGAATGTATTCAAGAGGCGACTAGATATAGCACTTTGGGCGAATGGGATCAAAGGTTACGGGGAGAAAGCAGGATTAGGCTGTTGAGTTGGATGATCAGCTGTGATCATGAAGAATGGCAGAGCAGGCTCAAAGGGCTGAATTGTCTCCTTCTGCTCCTATCTTCTGTTTCTATCTGTGAAGTTCTGAAGAAGGGTCACTGGACCTGAAACATTAACTCTGATTTCTCTCCACGGGTGCTACCAGACCTGCTGAGTTTTTCCAGCAGCTTCTGTTTTTGTTTCTGATTTCCAGCTTACTCCGTTCTTTTGGTTTTTTATGTTTTATTTTGAGGTTGGTTCATGCAGTCACGGTTTAAAGCAGTTTTACAGTTTTGTACCTTCCATGTTGTTTATAATCTTGTAAATTTCTCTAAAATCAACTCTCAGATGCATTATTTAGACTGAAAGTCCAATTTGCTGCACTGCTTTTGGTGACTGAACATGATACTCGGACTATCATCTGATATAGTATCAGAACTTACTTCTCATTCAATTGCAAACCCTAGAAATAAACACCAGTAAAATTTGTGAATGACGCATGCTGGCCCAATTCCACTGGTCTACCACAATGTATGACCAGCATCTTTATTTCTAAGTATTGCTAGATTTTTATAATCTTTCATTTACTCTATATGCACTTTCAACATTTTATAAACATGCTGACAAATTAGGGGCGGCATTAGGTTCCTTGGCCCCTCAAGGCTGCTTTATTATTAGATAAGATAATGGCTGAATTCTGTAGCCAAAAGTCAAAGAAAAATGTTCTCTTCATCTGTCTTTAATGGGTGAACATTATTTTTAAATGGTGAGCCTAGTTCTATATTTTCCTGCACATGGAAAGATCCTTTCCACATCTGCCCTATCAAGACCAGTCAGGATCTTGTATGTTTCAAATTGATTCAAATTCAAGCCTAGCTTGACCAACCTTTCCTCATAAGACAATCCAGCCATTTCAGGCATTAGTCTGGTGAACCTCTTCTGAACTGCTTTCAGCACATTTACCTCCTCCCTTAAATAAAGAAAACGTACCATATGCAGTATTTCAGATGTGATCTCATCAATGAGCTATTGAACTGAAACATAACCTCCTTTCTATTGTATTCAGTTCCCCGACAGTAAGCAATTACATTTTATTAGCTTTGCTCATTATTTGCTGCGCTTGCATACTAACTTTTGCAATTTGTGCACTAGATCTTCAAAATACTTATATATTTTTGAGCTTTGTAATCTCTCACTATTTAGATAATAGTTCTCTTTGTGGGTAGTGTCAATGCTAGGTGGAGAAACGAGTGCTTACTTGCAGAAATGGAGTTTGTAGTACTGCCATTGCCAAGCAAACAAGCTGTCTACAGAGTCTGCAGAGGAATGTAGATTGGTTAAACCAATTGGCAAAAGCAGATAGAATATAATGTTGGGAAATGTAGGTTATACACTTTGGCAGGAAGAATACTGGAGCTGAATATATTTAAATAGATAAAGACTGCAGAAACCTACAACAGAACAGAGGGATTTGGGAGTCCTCGTTCATGAATCACGAAAAGCTAACATGCAAGCTCAGCAGGTAATATGAAAAGCAAATGAAATGTTGGCCTTCGTTTCAAAGAGAATGGAGTTAAAAATAGGAAGGTTTTGCCAGAATTGTATAAAGCACTAGATGGAACACTGCTGCAATACTGTGACCTCTTACCTAAAGAGAGATATACTGATAATTGAGGCAGTTGAGTCTGTGCTCCTTGGAATTTACAGGAATAAGAGGCAACCTTATTGAAACATACTTGATAGGGTACATGCGGAAAGGTTGTTTCCTCTTACAGGGGAGTCTGGGGCATAATTTCAGAAAAAGGTGTTATAGATTTAAGATAGAGTTGAGGGGGAATTTCTTTTGATGGTTGTGAATCTGTGGAATTGTTTATCACAGAGAGCTGTCGAGGCTGGGTGATGAAGTATATTCAGGGCTCAGGTAAGCAGATTTTAAACCAGTAATGGTTATGTTGAAAAGGCAAGAAGAGTTGAAGATTCAGATCAGCCACGATCTCATTGAAAACCGTAGACTCGATAGGCCAAATTGTCTACTTCTCCTATGTCTTATTGTCTTTCATAAAGATGGCATTTCCTATATAATCACAAGGTGGAAACAAACTCCAGAAAATCTACTGGTAGGGTGGTAATGGAATAGGGAACACAGTCACTCAAACCAGCCTTGTCGGGGCCGTTCAGGTGATGTTGGAATAGGAGTGAGTCGTTGGCTTCTAAAGCCTGAAGTTGGAATGAAGTGATCCTGCCTAGCACAGTTTAATGTGTAGTGTATGTGTGGAGTTCTGAGACTTTGATTTGGTTTTTGTGCTGTTTTAAGGTCTCCCTGGAGCTTCAAAACACACAAACAGTTTGGAAAGTATAAAATCCCTGATCCAGTACTGCAGCAACTGACTCAGAGTTTAATGCTCACCTGTGCCAGAATCTCCTCATGCATGCACAGAGGCACACTGGCACAACCCAGATCTTTGTCAACATTACATGACAATGTGCAAACATGTATTGAACTGCCCATGTGCGAATAGCTCTCGATGGTTATCTTGAATAATTGATTGTGTTGAGAATACACACTCCATTAGATAGTATAGTTTTTTTTTCGTTTCTGCCAAAGTGGACAACTGCATATGTTCCCACATAATATCCATTTGCCAGATTTGAACCCAC